CGCTCTCTTTACGGAGTAATTAGTTCCCACTTAATTGTTAGACAATTAAGGGTCATAAAAGGTCGAGTGTAATAGCGCCTTTGGTGTCAATTATATTGGATGAGAATTATCTGAAGAATAAATGAAAAATGGATATAAACGCGGTATTTTATCTTGTAAGTAAGCTCCGCTAAAGCGGCGAAGCTGTAATAAGGAACTATGGCTGATATAATCCTAAGATAAGGAGTTATTACTAATGCGCTGCATTATAGGCATTGTAAAAAGCAATGACTTACCCTATTTTGAGGTCCTGATATCTGATATACTGCTTTTACTTGTTTATTATGACTGCTGTATATTGTCTTTACGGATAACTATTATCTTTCTATAAGTGTAATAAATACTACTTCTATTTGTAGTTTCGTAACGTTATAGGGCTATATTTACCAGTTTACTAGGACTTTCATGTTAATAGAGATTCGATATCTATTTATTTAGCCTTTTTAATAGTACACTATATCGTTCTTTTATCCAAGGCAGTAGATAAGACACAGGAAGGAAGGGTAGATAAGAGGTTTTATAAATTAAATTTAGAGCCTGAAATATCTCATATTATTTACTGCTCTGTAAGGTGCAGTTGTATCTTAAAATGGACGCTGTGGGTATTCTTCGTTTTATGCCGACAAAATATTATAACTATAATAACAATATATTGTTGAACTTAGAAGCTGCACTATTTATAATCTTTATGTTGTCTCAATTTTAAACTATATATTCAGACCTTACTGCCTACGAGCCGGCTTCTATTTATATAATGCTCTCATAATAGCATGTCCTATTTAAGTGACAAGATTCCGATGGCATGTGTCATATAGTGAGATTGTTTATATCCTAATAAACTTCTCAGCTAACCTGTCTATCCCTTCCTACAAGTTTTGATAATAACACCGTTATATTCCGGGGCAATACTGATAAGTCCGCTAGATAAGTTCTAACTGGTTTTGTTGTTTTCTATCTTCAAGCACTTAGGTTCATTGAAGATATTTGCCTTCGCGTCTTGGCTGTATTAAATATATCAAATAAAGCTCGCTCTGTATAGTATAGGCTACGCTAATGCTTTTAAAGCGCGAAGCTGAGATCAATAGAGACTGTCTTGGAGCAGCTCTGTCTTCGAGCGGGTGGTCTACTGTTACCAGCAGGGAACTATAAGTACCTATTCGAGTTTTGTCTGCCAAGCGATTTGACCGAGAGCATTCAAGGTATACCGGAAATATCCTTAAAATATCAAGTTAATGCTATTATAGTAGACAAGGGGATGCCTATATTTTACGCTTGTAAAGACCTTCGCATTATACGCACTCCTGTATTAGATGCTCTCGAACTATTGCAGTCCGCAAGTGGAGAATGTATATAGGATGATAAGCTTAAATATTCTATCGGTATTTTCCTAAAGGCAGTAGGCTTTAGTGGCACGATTCAACTCACTTTATGCGCCGACCCTCTTACTTCTGGGATAGCACTGGGAGATATTATGGTGAGGGTAATTGAAATTCGCGAATTTCCAATCGTAGATTGCTTGGGGCCAGCTGCAAGAGCTAGCAGATATATTACAGAGAACTTAACAGCACAGCGACATATTACGCTACGTTCGGTTGATAAAGGTTAGATGTTTAACGTGCTGCTGTCCCTTCCAAGAAAGCTTAGGGATTATGACTAAAACCTTGCCTATAATGAAATTAAAGTAAAGCATAAGGTTAAAGTAATTATATCTGTTAAGGAATTGGCTGGGCATGGATTTAAGGTAAGTGACTGGAGATCCTTATTATTTATTAATAGTTACTTTGCTATTAACTGGCCTATCTAGCTCCGCGCTATAGTACCGCTTAGAATATATATGCCCTTTAATGCAGTTTTTAGCATAAAAGGGACTTTGCTTACTATGGGAAACCCTACTGGTATTAATAAACCCGCTAGCTTTGTTGCTCCGCTAATATACAGCAAGCAAGACTAAGAGCCTCCAGCATATACGCTGGTGAGCTGAGGTGTCCCTAAGCTGCTAAGCGATGCTGTGGATGTTTTAGGAGTCCAAAAACTTTCAGTATATTAACGGATAGTATTATATTTAAACTAAAAATATCATTAAGTACTATTATTTCTATGAGCTCTTTAGCTGCTCTGGCGTTATACAGAGACGCTACATTTTTTGCTCGCACATTTAGTTAAGGCATCTTATGCTTAGATATTACAGGATTACTTCCAGCTTAATTGTAGAACTCTTGGCGAATATAATAAAACTATAAGTTGGCATAGTTTTTACTCCGCCTTTACTGGACTTTCCGTATACGTACTGTCTTATGCGTCGGTGTTTAGGTATATCAGAAAAAGCTGCCTCTGGTGATTGAACAAGCAGACTTGACGTAATTGCTGAAAGTTATAAAGCTATTAATATCGGAAGTCGAAAGACTGGCCGGCCACCCTGATTTGATTAGGTGGCTGAGAGGTTTTCTAAACTTAAGATAAATGATATGGACCCTTCTGAAGGATAGAAAAGGAACAATAAATAACACACCAAGACTTATTTAACAATATGTCTTACTCCGTGACAGGATAGTGTGGTTAATATGAGTAGATAGCGTTACGATCTCTGGTATTTTGTATCAGTACTACTTACTCGCTATATTGATTTTATATGGTTTAAAAATGGCCCCAGAAAAGGCTGATAAATCCACTGTAGCCCATATATTCATCTACCCACAGTTACAATACATGTATATATTCACAACATGAATCTATACTTATTACTTATTCTTCTTCCCTTTACCCAGGGATTATCTCAGGTAAGCGTAGTGAACCGATGTCCTTTCGCTCTGTTTCTGAAGTCTGTTCAACAAAACGCGTCTCAAATAGAGGACTTAGCCCCCAACAAGATTGCAGCGAAGCATATCGACCTGTTATATACGGCACTGGTGTATCAATAAAAATAACAACTAATAGTGAGATTGGTGAGGAGATTGATGAACAGAAGCTCATGGTGGAGTTCGGCAATAGTCCTATTATGCAGCTCGAATGCTCTTATGTTCCATGGAATAGTCTTGTGGACCTATTTTACGACATCTCTGCTGTAGACGACTCACCTGCGAGGCAATTCTGTCAATATGGCTGTCAGCTCCGCACAACATCAATCAAGGGTGACTCGGTTTTTTGTCCTGCGCAATATGACAAATTTTGCCCTCATGTTTATAATTGTCCCGACGATAATTGGGCGACACATGGATGCAGTAGCCATGTTGCACTTGAGCTTGCCCTCTGCACTTCTTATATAGGTACACCTTAAGTCTCTGGTGTGCGTATCGGCGAGATTAGCAGTACACTTTGCAGAGATGGTCGACTGAAGTTTAAGC